CAAACTCAGAGTACTTTAGGATTCCCCAGGATTTGCTTTCCTTTGGTATTTTAGACATTGTTAACTGAAACAAAGAAAAAGGACTCAAATAAAGGAAAGATTATACCCTTTAATGCCAACAGTTCTTCGTGTACCTTCCTTATTTTAATTTTTTTTTATTTCAGATTATTTTGGTTACATATAATACCTTTGCCTCACCCAAGCCAGGGACATGTACCTTTCTAATCGTTAACATTTCATGCTAGCTATATTCATTCTCCCACTTGGATGAATTAACTATTTCTGGAATAGATCATCATTAAATGATAATGTGAATGGGTTTAGGAAAAGGATAATATTTATTTAAATGGATAAATATTCAGTGAGGAAATGTCAGGCACTCCAGTGGGGTCATTGGTATGTTTGAATGGAAAAGGGGTACGTGGAATAGTTTTGATTAAAGGGGCTTTCAATAATCTTCCTTAAATTAAGTCATAGATGTAAGTAATTTCTCAAGTTATACATTGTCCACCAGAGACCACATCCCTTTAAGATCCATCCCGTTTGGTGCTTACAGCTCCTACTGAACTCTGTGCTCTCAGTTATCCCTGTGCCGCAAGATTGTGTCTGGCACTTCCAGCTTTGGGAAAAGTACTGGGCTGTGTTTCCTCAGCTCTGTACATTAGAGTTGGTAGAGTAGTCATTAAAGTTGTGCCTTCTGTTGTGTACTGCAAAATAGTAATAATGATAATAATATAATTTAGACACAGACTCAAGCTTATCCCCTGAATTTACATATCCATTACCCTTTGGTTTTCCTGATGAATTAAAAAAAACAATAACATTCTCTACTAAGAGAGTCCTTCGATTTAGGGGAGCTCAAATCATAGCAGTTTCTGGCAACTGTTATTTTTGTTCCTTGGCTCTCATCTAGAAAAAACTGGGCATTTACGTGCAAGCCTGGGGATTGTTCTTCTGCTGTCGATACCACAAGGTGCTAGAGGAAACCTCATCTCTCCTTCAACCAAGATCCATATCAAGGATCCCTTTTTCCCCTTTTTGAGCATTTCAAACATGATAATGACTCACTTTCCTTTAATATGATTAATATTTCCGTATTCATATCCATGCTACCCTATCTCATAGTTATGTATGGATACATGTCATTATCTAATCATCATCTTAGTAATTGAATTCTCTTTATTTCAATGACCAATGTCTTATAACTGTATCACGCAATTTAATTGAATTCCCTTTTTCCATATATATTCTGTATTAGTTTCAGAAAAAAAAAAATCTCACCAGTATATTCCAAAGCTTCAGTTTGCTTTATGTTCCTATTTCTTCTTGAATTAATTTAGGTTCAGCTGTCCAAAGTAAAGTATGAGTGATGCTGGAGGAATTGTTTTCTGAATAATTAGTACCAGATAATCCCTGATATCACAAACTCAAAGTCTGATAGAAATCAGTCTTCGTAGTTTCTGGTTCTCTCACCTAATGAAATCTGCCACTTGACAGTACCTTTGGCAATAAATGCTCTTTTCTCCACTTCTTACGGGTCTATTTAAAGAGAATGAGACAAAATCATAATGACCTTGGGGAAAGCTTTTTCCCCAAAGTCTTCCACCATAGTCAAAACCAAATTGCAGATCTTCCAGTGAACTTTAATTCCCAGTGTCTGTTCAATTTTTAAAAATTAAATTAAAAAAATCATTGCTAAATATAAAAATCAATCAATTTTCACATTTAGGACCATAACCCTAATCCATAGCATTCTGCAAACAGAAGTAATTGCTTTATCATTGTAAACCTTGTTTCATGAATTATTATGCTTCAATGTATATGTTAAATAGTATATATTTGTTGTAACATACAATAAAACATCTGTTTTATATTATTTATTGATTTTTAATCATCTTACTTCTTTGAAAGGCTTATTTGAGTGGAAAAGAGTGGATTCAATTGTGCTATCAGGGTTCACTGCTTTTCTTCTTGACTCGTTCTATGCCGATTTCTGGAGAAAGAGGTGGGATGAGGTTCATTTCTGGCCTATGCTTGGGACAAGTTGTGATGCTGGTTTTAATTCATCTACTTTTTGATTGTACACAATTAATGTTGAATCTCAACCACTAATAACAGTCTTGCTTTTTCCTTTC